AAACAGAAAATTAAAGGTAAAAAGCAAAATAATCATTTTATTTAATGGAATTGTTGGGGTTCAGGAGAGTACAAACAGAAAATTAAAGGTAAAAATAATTTTATTTAATAGAATTATTGGGGTTCGGAAGAGTACAAATAGAAAATCAAAGGTAAAAATCAAAATAATCATTCAAAATCACAATAAGCATTTTATTTAATGGAATTATTGGGGTTTGGAAGAGTACAAACAGGAAATTAAAGGTAAAAATAATTTGATTTAATAAAATTATTGGGGTTTGGAAAAGTACAAATAGAAAATCAGAGGTAAAAATCAAAATAATCGTTTTATTTCGTGGAATTGTTGGGGTTCAGAAGAGCAGAAACAGAAAATTAAAGGTAAAAATCACAAATAATCGTTTTATTTCATGGAATTATTGGCGTTCAGAAGAGTACAAATGGAAAATCAAAGGTAAAAATCATTTTATTTAATAGAATTATTGGGGTTTGGAAGAGGACAAATGGAAAATCAAAGGTAAAAATCAAAATAATCATTTTATTTCGTGGAATTGTTGGGGTTTGGAAGAGCAGAAATGGAAAATCAAAGGTAAAAATCTTTTTATTTAATAGAATTATTGGGGTTTGGAAAAGTACAAATAGAAAATGAAAGGTAAAAATCAAAATAATCGTTTTATTTCATGGAATTGTTGGGGTTCAGAAGAGTACAAATGGAAAATCAAAGGTAAAAATCATTTTATTTAATAGAATTATTGGGGTTCGGAAGAGTACAAAGAGAAAATGAAAGGTAAAAATCAAAATAATTGTTTTAGTTCATGGAATTGTTGGGGTTCGGAAGAGTACAAATGGAAAATCAAAGGTAAAAATCATTTAATAGAATTATTGAGGTTCAGAAGAGTACAAACAGAAAATTAAAGGTAAAAATAATTTTATTTAATAGAATTATTGGGGTTCGGAAGAGTACAAATGGAAAATCAAAGGTAAAAATCAAAATAATCGTTTTATTTCATGGAATTATTGGGATATATACAGAAAATGAAAGGTAAAAATCACAATAATCATTTTATTTAATGGAATTATTTGGGTTCAGAAGAGTATAAACAGAAAATCAGAGGTAAAAATCACAATGATCATTTTATTTAATGGAATTATTGGGCTATGTACAGAAAATTAAAGGTAAAAATTACAAGAATCATTCAAAATCACAAGAAACATTTTATTTAATAGAATTATTGAGGTTCGGAAGAGTACAAACAGAAAATTAAAGGTAAAAAGCAAAATAATCATTTTATTTAATGGAATTGTTGGGGTTCGGGAGAGTACAAATGGAAAATCAAAGGTAAAAATCTTTTCATTTAATAGAATTATTGGGGTTTGGAAGAGTACAAACAGAAAATCAAAGGTAAAAATCAAAATAATCGTTTTATTTCGTGGAATTGTTGGGGTTCGGAAGAGTACAAATGGAAAATCAAAAGTAAAAATCATTTTATTTAATAAAATTATTGGGGTTTGGAAGAGTACAAACAGAAAATCAAAGGTAAAAATCAAAATAATCGTTTTATTTCATGGAATTGTTGGGGTTTGGAAGAGTACAAATGGAAAATCAAAGGTAAAAATCAAAATAATCATTTTATTTCATGGAATTATTGGGGTTTAGAAGAGTACAAATAGAAAATTAAAGGTAAAAATCAAAATAATCATTTTATTTCATGGAATTATTGGGGTTTCATCTTCAAGGAATATTGAATTATTTGTGTTCAGTAGAGTACAAACAGAAAATTAAAGGTAAAAATCAAAATAATCATTCAAAATCACAAGAATCAATTTCATGGAATTATTGGTGTTCAGAAGAGTACAAACAGAAAATCAAAGGTAAAAATCGCAATAATCGTTTTATTTCATGGAATTATTGGGATATGTACAGAAAATCAAAGGTAAAAATCATAATAATTTTATTTATTGGAATTATTTGGGTTCAGAAGAGTGCAACCAAAAAACCAAAGGTAAAAATCACTATAATAATTTTATTTATTGGAATTATTGGAGTTCAGAAGAGTACAAACAGAAAATTAAAGGTAAAAAGCAAAATAATCGTTTTATTTCATGGAATTATTTGGGTTCAGAAGAGTGCATACAGAAAATCAGAAGAGTACAAATAGAAAATTAAAGGTAAAAAGCAAAATAATAATTTTATTTATTGGAATTATTGGGGTCCAGAAGAGTACAAATAAAATCAGAAGAGTACAAATAGAAAATTAAAGGTAAAAATCAAAATAATTGTTTTAGTTCATGGAATTGTTGGGGTATATACAGAAAATTAAAGGTAAAAATCATAATAATAATTTTATTTATTGGAATT